TCCATTTTTGTAATTTCAACCACTTTGTTTGTATGTATCACATTTACCAGTAAGACTTTCACTTTCATCAGAAACTGTTTTTACTGTGGTGCCTTAAATGTGTAACCTGTGATTTTATCAAGGACCTGGAAACACTAAGCATAACAGAGGGTTCAACTCAAAGAAAGTTCAGTCTTTCAGTCATGACACTGTAAAATAAAACTGTCCACCTGATGGATACAGTATGTTTAAGTATAGCATCTATTGTATTATAACAGGTCAGTGTGGCTTTTTCCCCTCAGCTCTGACAGGAGGGATGCTCCTGTTCTGTAAAGACTGACTACTGTTTTCTTTAGGAGGGAGTTTCAGGTAACTGGAGGGTTGGTGATTCGATCACCAACGCAACTCACAAACATGTCCTGATGTGCAGATAGCAGTTTAAGTGCAAAGTTGCAGATATGAGACACATTCAGGTCACAACTCTTTCCAGGCAACTACTTTTATTGGTTAGCTCATTCTGTAGGAATACTTTAATATGCCAAAAAATGTATCTCATATTTTAGGACGTACCTGTTTTTAAAATATAAAGTAATCCCCCTCCAACTGCAACAGTGTTAGCATAAACTACCCGAGAGAAAGTGTCCACATGTGAAGGACATGCCATGAACAAGACACAATACTTCAATTCTTTACATTTATTAAGAATGTAAAAAGAACAGCAGAGTATGTATCCTTCCAAAACATATTGGAAAACAGAGGAAGCATCTAGGCAGGGTTGAGTGAAGAGAGTTCTCTGCTTCTCAGAACAGGAGTGCTGATCTACAATCAGACTGCGACAAATACAAGGATGTAATAATAGCAGAAACTGTAGGGGGATAACTGTGGAAAGCAGGAGAAAAACATCAATTTCAATGGATGTAAAATGTGAGTGGATATAAAAAAAATGGAATTCAGCTCCCCAGTTAAAGCCCAATTTAAGAGGCCACTAAAAGCACCTTCTGGATCAACACTCCTGTTTTAAGAAACTTGATGATAAGGGGCCAAACCAACAGGGTGAAGGTGAAAAGAACAGACCAAAAAGGATAGCAGAGAAAGGGAAACACGTTCCTCCTCAGTCCTTCCTCAGTGGTACAGTCTGCTCATTGATGCCCTCCTTAGTGATGATGCAGAGCCGAAGGGCATCTCCGGTGTAGACGTCTCTCTCTGCTGCCGAAATGAAGACATCTTTGACCAGCTGAACCGCCTTTTCCTGAGTCAGGGGAACATGCTGCACACCCTCCATGTTCTTGAAACCAATCTGTGGAAGGACGTGTTGGAAGGAGAGTCAGAAATGAATGTACTTTATCCACTGTAAGGAAACTTGGTTGGAGCTCTGTTTTGTCTGCACACCTGATGACAAACATTGTGAGATTATGGCAACAGGTCAGCGTGTCAAATACCTGGTTGTCTAGTAGTGGTTGTAGCATGGCACTTGCTGATCCTCCGGCCTTGTAGGTGTCTCTCTGGTAGGAGCCCACTGGGTCAAAACTGTACACTGCTCCCTTGCCTACAGTACAAACATGAAATAATGCAAATAAATGTTAATGTGAGAACATTATACATGTTTTATACAATTTACAGCTTAGACAACAAAAAATTGTGTTACAATAGCAACAAAATATACACAACAACCCAAGCAAAATTCACTACCGGCTGCAATCATCACATAGAAGAAACATGGCTACAACCTAAATATGCTGATTTCTTTACTGACATCCATATGCATCTTACAGTGTATAGTTGAAGCACCTACCCTCTTCATCCAGTCCTCCGATGATGTTGTAGACGTAGTAGGGGAAGAACCTCCTGCCGTACAGGATGGTGGACAACATGGCTGCAATGGCTCCGCTAGTCATTGTCTTATTGTTTGAATGTTTGTACATCTGAGAGAGGGGAAGGAACATTAGTTCAAATGTTACACAAACAATTACACAACCTGTCTTGTATGGGTACAGTAAACTGGGGCAGCACTGGAGACTATTAGAGGAGACCTCAAAGAACAAATATCCATAAAGTATATGTGGTCCTTCTAAAGGTGTGTTCTGACAGATTTAGAATAATTCAGACATTAAATACAACTGTCAACATTAAAAACGATTAACAGACTCTGTTGGTGTGCAAGCAGGGGCAGGACAGTAACAGAATTAGATCATTATGAGGATGAGGCTAAAGAGAGAGCGAAACCAAAAGAACTTGCTGCACCAGCCCACCTTTAGTCTGGCATCAATGATTTTAGTCAGAGTCAGGCAGTCGCCATGGAAACCACTGCAGCCAATGACGGTTGTGTCTGTCCTGTAAAAAGTAAGGAGTTGCACAAAAAACAGTGACAGTCAGAGCAGCATATTCTTTTCAAGTGATCTAAATTCATGTGGTAATGATGAGGTAAAATGGTGATTTTAGTCATAGACGGTGACTCTGCTGAGAGGTACTGAATCAGGAACCAACTACCCTCCCCATCTTAAGAGCATCAGAACAGAGCTGCACTGACTTCAGGGGCTGCACTACAAATTTAACTGATAATGAACATTTAATGAATGTACACAGAACTATGAAAGGAGCAGGTAAAGGGGCCAGTTACGGATTAAAATGAACTGACATGGTGTCTTAATGGTGCTGCTGTTATGCCAAGTTTTGCCTGCCTGCCCAGAATTGCATGGACCTCCAAATAATGCTTTTAAACGCTATAATCTTTGTGGGGTTCATCATTGGTGTTAAATGTTTCGAAGTATATATTTTATGAACGTTTAGAGTCTTTATATAATATTTTAATAACCTTAGTAGAAGTACCATTCCTTGAGATTCAGTAAATATATGTGTTGATAACCGCGTTTGATCAATGAGCACAGCAAAGTGTCTGAGAAGGACCAAAAAGAGGTGGATGCATAACCCGGCAGAACAAATTTTGTAGGCTACCTGCCGAGATTTGCATCCACCTCTTTTCTCAGCATAAATCGTTATCACTCGCGAGGTGCAGGAAATTCTCGGCAGGCAGGCAGAATTCGGCACAACACCGGTCTGCTGCCCTTCACTGACTGCAGGGAAGTGACAGCGCACACTTACAGCTTGTAGCATTTAGGTGAGTCCCGGCTGTGGATTGAGTAGCCTTCACTCAGCCTGGTGTCTGAGGCTACGATGGCGAAGTCTTCCCCGGCAACAGCTAGTACGGTTCTGAAAACAAAAACAACGACACAGGGTACTTCAGTCATCTTATAAACCACCTCAACAAAGGGGGGAAATGTACTGTTGTCCCAGACACTTGCTAACGGAAGCTAAGCTACTGACTCGAAACTGAAACTGTGACATTAACTAATATTTCCTTTCTAACGTTAGATGTGTGGCCTGAAGTGAGGATGCTATGTGTCCTGGACAAAGAAAGTCTGCTCTGTTTACATAAGTTTCTTGAACTTCATCTTTGTTTAGTTTCAGTTAGCATATCGTTTCCTAAGCTGGTTAGCTACTTAGCATAGTTTAAATGTAGCTGGATGTAAACGTTAGCTAGCAGGCTAACTAGCGAGCAGTTTACAAATCACACTCACCCTCCGTTGAAAGCATATGGTGAGAACCGGTGCTCTACTGGACCCGCATAATGATAATCTTTCATCTTGCCCGGGTCTCCAAAGCTATGAGCAGAAATCATTTTTATTACAAAAAGCCAATCGTGTACAAGATTCAGTCCGGTAAACTCGCTGTATCACTGCAATATGGCAGCCTCTTCTTTTACCTTCAACACACCGGCGCGTTCAGCTGTACTCTGTGCGACGGCGCCCCCACAGGCTGTTTGATGTGAGGCAGGAGCAATCACAGTGTGACCAGTGTTTTAAAGATAAAGATCACAATTTTTCGATTTGTTCGTGTTAAAGAGAATATAAGCTACATCAAAAGCAGAACTAACTAACTGTATAACCCAGATTTGCTGGCATGTTATTAGAATAAAACGATCTATATAATAAAGAAGGTAGGTTTATTTGTCACATTAACAACAAGTTGTAAAGTGAAATTAAGTTTTTAATTCCCTCACTACAAAAGCAATCATAAAAATCGTAGACAGAAATAAACTATACTCAATGGAATAGTGCTGAGGATGAACTAAAGTTTAAGAGTCTGATAGCTTGGGGGGAAAAGCTGCTCTCCAGTCTGGTGGTGCGGCAGAAGAAACTTTTATATCTCTTCCCAGAAGGCAGCAGGGTGAACAGGCTGTGGCCCTTTAGTATCCTTTGGGCTCTGCGCAGGCACCTCACCGATATCACTGATGCTCGGGAGATGGGTACCAACGATCTTCTGAGCAGTTTTAATCACCCACTGCAGAGCCCTCTGGTCCTGGGTCATGCACATCCCATGTCAGTTTGTGATGTTTCCAGTCAGGATTCTTTCTATTACTCCTCTGTAAAAGCTGACAAGAACTTGCTGTGGGAATTTGGCCTTCTTAAGCTTCCTCAAGAAATACAGTCGTTTCTGAGCTTTCTTCACCAGCGTGGAGATGTGAGATGACCATGTCAGGTTCTCTGTGATGCTGATTCCCAGGAACATGAAACTGTTCAACCTGCTTCACCTCAGCTCCACTGAGACAGGAGTGTGTCTTTATCTCCTTCTTCCTAAAATCAACGATCAGCTCCTTAGTTTTGCTGACGTTGAGCAGTAGGTTGTTCTCTGAGCACCCCTCTACAAGATTATGAATTTCCTCCCGATAGGAAGTCTCATTGTTGGTTGAAATCCGGCCGATGGTGGTGTCATACCTATTGCTCATACATTCAAGGACCATTAAAAGGTACAGCCGCCAGAAAAACTTGTTGCAATGGCTGTGCATGACACTATTTGAAAGATGTGTCTAATGAATATAATGTAAGAATATAAAATACTTTAAAATGTATAACATGTATATTATTCATGATACAGACAGGCAGCATCTACCTTTCCAGTGCACTAAAGATTATTTTTGCCCTTTGGTATTGAAAAGGACTCCATTTAACACAGTACACAATAGGTAAAGGATGAATCTTTTTACGTAGCTTTTATTGGGAAGAAAACACTTCTGAATTCAGTGGCTATGACATTATTAAAAATCCCTTAAACAGCTTGCTCAATGAAGGACAATACAAAATAGAAAAAAATAACTGCACTGACTGACTGCAAAATCAGTTGACTAATCATAGCTGATGGATGTTTAATTTCAAAGTAATTACAGAGTGGTTACATTTTCTTATACTAATTAATAATAGAGGACAACAAAAGTGAGACACTTTGTTTCAGTAATCAAGACTAACACATAAATACCTGAAAACTGATGCAGCCATGAAGTCTACCGCAGCCAGCGTCTACTACATCTCATTACACAGGATCACAAGCACCGAGTCATCATTTAAGACAAGACTTTGTTTAAATAAGATTCTCTTTACTGGCCTGCCTCATCAAATACATGTTAATTCAAAAATACCAACTGTAGTTGATCAGATACAAAAAAATGTTGTTTTTAAAGACACTGAATTAGGTCAGTGAGCTCTTGGTAACATCGACTGATCCAGTAGAACAGGATCAAAAACACCATTTGTTCAGCTGAAACAATTTTCCGATCACTACAGAAATGTCATAAGACAGAAAATACAAGACTCATCAGTTTAATGAAATAGGAATGCATTGATGCTGTTAGTGGTTAGCAGATCACAGGATTTAGTTCATTTGGATGGATTTGATTTACAGTTTATCAGTTAACATTATGTTTATATGGTGACTGGAGTTCATTCTCTAACATCACAGAACAGAGAGGTCAGGTTAATGTTTATGTCTGGATTTTTTGAGCGCGTGCATTTGAGGTATAATTCAAATGATTGTATTTCAAGTTATAGGCCTGCTTTACTGATGTCATCAAAGCATTCACAGAAGATATTAATATGTTAGTTTTCTAATGTTAGCATGAGTATTTAAAGAACTGCCAATCAATGAAGAGTGACTGCAGGTTAAGATCTTGTGTTTTGATTGTTGGTATTTGGTAGGAGGGCTACACTTCCGTTTATTTTTGGAAAACAATGATCTGATGTTTTAAAATGTTACTTCTTCTGCAAAACATTTAACAGATGACATTTGTGCATTTATGTAGAATTTGGTCGTGGTATTGTGGTTAATGATGCTGTTGATCATTTTTTAGCTGACTTTGACTTCTTCGGTGTTTTGGCTCCTCCTTTCTTCCTGGGTGTGGTAAAGTCTTTGTCGCAAACCTCACATACCCAAAGGCCTGAGGAGACAGACAGAACAAATTAATAACTATAAAAACAAACAAACAAACAAGAATACAAACCCACATTTTTAAAAGCAGGCACAGTAAGTAAATGACTGTAATGGAAAGAAAGTCAGCTTTTCTTTCCCCCATAGTGTTTTTAGTTCAGTCACAGAGTAGGATGCCAATCAAGAGTGTAGTTCCAGCCACGGAAGTGTTTGCGTATCTGTCTGCCAGCCATACAGTGAGCTTTTATGCGTGTCCATCCACTCACCAGTGGGTATGGAGTCCATGCCCACGCAGAATGTGTGGTAACCTCGGTCGCATTTGTCACAGAACATCATCTCGTCCTCGTGGTGGGGCTGCTGGCACACGGTGCAGGTCTTACACTCCATACACTGCCAGCGGTACGTCTGGATCACACACACCAGCGACGTGTTCATGTCCAAGCAGGACGGGTGACCTAAAGTTTATGGACACAAAGACATGTGCAGAGAAGCAGACACAGAGCCAGAGACATGCAGCAGCAGCAGCCACAAACACACACACACACAAATAAGTACATGACACATGCACACAGACACACGTAAAGAAGCAAGTCAGACAGAAGCACAAAAGACACAAATATAGCTATAATGTGAACAGGCCCACCCATCCACACACGAGAATACATCATCCTGTTATTGCAGAGGACTTCAACTCATAAAACTTCACTAACACATCAGCATTAAAAAGAAACAGCAAACATCTAGAATCTACTCGCATCTAGGCTTTATATTTTTGTCTGGATAGGAACTGATATTAATCAGGACTGTCTAAAAATTTACTTGTTTTGTGATTTTGCAACATGCCTTTAGCCGTTTTCTCTATGTTATCAGAACTGACTGGTGAATATACACTGAACAAAATTACAAATGCATCACTTTTGTTTTTGCCCCCCTTCATCATGAGCTGAACTCAAAGACTTTCCCTCTGTACACAAAAGGCCCGTTTCTCTCAAATATTGTTCACAAATCAGTGTTAGTGAGCACTTCTCCTTTGCGGCCTTTTCTTGTGGCCAGCCTAAGGCACACCTGTGCAATACCCATGCTGTCTGATCAGCATCTTGAAATGCCACACCTGTGAGGTGGATGGATTATCTTGCCCGAAAGTGTAAAACTTGCTATACACAATTAAAAGAAGCTGGTACAATGGATAACTGACCCAATTCCTTTTACTGGTGATAGATATGATTTTATTAATCAATGACAATCGTTTCAATCATCTGTTAATGTTTATCCCACTGATGTTAACTGAATTAGAGCCAGAGGGACAACTGACTTATGTTAATAACACCTGGTATTAACAGTGGCTAAATTGTTCTGATGTCGAGTATCAAAAAACAACAACAGGATACTGTCCTTTAAAATGAATGGTGTGAACTTACCACTATTATCACATTGGGAGCAGTGAATGAGAGCCTCTGGCTTGCCCTTCTTGTTGGCGTCTTTACCCTTCTGGCAAATGCCACATATAGCATTGGGAATGACCTTAGGCTGCAAGGGCAGAATAATGCTATAAAAACCACGGGTATCCTGTAGTCATGGACAGTATAGTAGTTCAACAAATGTGCAATGCCTGGAGAAAAAACAAAAACAGAACTTTATCTTGACCGACTAAGGCCTTTTCTACTTTTGGGAGTCCGAATTACATGTTGAATGGTTTATACATTTAAACGTAAATTACATCCCCTGGCGCCCAACTACATTTTTTATTTTTTTTTCCAAGCTAGTTCTTGGTTTAAAGTTTGGGTTTTTTTATGCTACAAAACTACTAATCAATATGACCCATATTACTGTGCAAAAGGTTTAGCTAGGTGTGAATAAATGCTGTAAGGTAAGAATGTTTTCAAAAATATCCATGTTAATAGATTATATTTATCAACAAATTGCAAAGTTAGTGAACAGAAGAAAAATCTAAATCAAATCAATTCTTCTAGGTATACTTGCACATAGTTTTTGAAGGAAGTGCAGGTAGGTTGGCCTAAACATTTTGGAGAACTACCCACAGTTCTCTGGATTTAGCCAGCCTCATTTGCTTCTCTTTCTTCGTGTAAACCATGCAAGACTCTGTGGGGGCCCCACCATCACTTCCAGGACTCCTTAGTTCTTAATGACTTTTGCTGTATGTTTAGGGTCATTGTCATACTACAATTGTTGGGCCAGTCAGACGCCTCCCTGATGGTACTGAATGATGAATAAGTATCTGAGAGACCAGTCATTCTGACTAAATCCCCAACTCTGTTTGCAGAAATGCAGCCCAGACTTGCAAGGAACCTCCAACATACTTAACTGTTTCCTGCAGACACTCATGCTTGTACAGCTCTCCAGCCCTTCGCCAAATCTATTTTGATAGATAAATAATGCCTATTTTTGAAAGCATTTTTACTTTACAGCGTTTTTTCCACACCTGCCTAAAACCCACATCTAAAACTTTTGCACAGTACTGTACTTTTCAGTTCAACAGGGGTCACAGAGGAAAGAACCAGACCAGAAAGATAAAGAGGCTTGGGGACATTTAAATCAGGATGCCACACAGGAAAAGACTTTTAAATATTTAATACCTCTATAGGAAGCCACGTTATTAAAAACAGGGAAGATTGAGCAAGAATTTTATATTTGGACTGAAGATGCCTTTAAATACAACTAACTAACTAAAATGAACAACTTTTAACACTTAACAAAATCCGTATTCATCTGAAGAGCATGACATGTGTTGTGTGTGTTTTTTACGACAGACACAGTAATATCCCTGAAATGAACAAAATCTGTTCCTGTCTGACAGAATTCACTTTGTTTTCCTGGTTTTCATGTTCTAATCCTGTGTTAGCATCTTGTCCAGTTACCTCAAGATAGTGACATTCTTAATTGAAATGTCCCCTGACAGGAAGTGAGCAGGTTAGACTAAAAAGCCATATGTACAAAACTATGGGTCAATTAAGAACATGGTTTGGTAATAATGAACATTCAAGACTAGAAACAAAGCAGAGAACTAATAGAAAAGCAGCAGCAGGAGAGGGAAATCAGAAAGAGGAGGAGCTAGATGCAGCCCCCTGTGTATACTTTCTTACATACTCACTATGAATATGAAAATATATATTCTACCAATATTTCTTCTGTAAAATCAAACAGTTTATACCTTTGGCCTCGCTGCATTTCTCAAGTCATTAGTGAAAGCATTGACCATATTGCTATTGTGAACTGAATTACAAGGCAGCCAACACGTTATTAAGCCCAATAGTCTACTTGATGCCTGCACATTCAACACATCTCTTCCACACAGAAAAATCCAAAATGAGCAGTTCGTGAGGTTGAATCCAGCTAGTTTTATTCTAAATTAACTGAATTTGGTCAACACAAGAAATACTGTATTTTATGTACATAAAAGAAAAAGTGCTCGTTTTCAGGCATGTTTGCTTTGATATAATCTGGTAGCTTTTGTATGGTGTCATATAGCTCTAAACATTACATATAAGTCAGACACAGAGACATACAGAGACACAATTAAATGGGAACTTTATACTGGCTGACTACACACCCGCTCATCCACAGCTAGTGGAATCCACAGATTTTAGATCAGTAGACCATTTGGTATAAACATCATATTTTTACCTTTATTGACCTGTTAGTGATTAAGTCTCTGCTATTAGGAGATTTCAATCATGTAAATAAGTTAGAAGGTTTGTAGTTGTTGCTACAAATGCTAACCTGTTTCCCATTTGCCTGGGCCAAATGTGCATTATCGAGTGAAACTGAACTATACTCGGCCTTGCAACTCGTAGTGACAACCGTGGCCCTCAAATTCAATATGTCTCGCATACAAAATAAAAAAACTTTCTGAGCTCCTTCTGAGCATCAAACCAGCATTGCACAGTCTCAGGTAGACTAACAGCCATTTTAAAAAACTGACAGTAAATATTAGTATCAGTATAGATAATCTGCTGAAGATAATGTTAATCTAAACATGTCAGGTTAACGATTTAGATTTAAAGATTCAGTGTGTGAGTTTTAGTGGCATCTAGTGTTGAGGACTGAGGATTGCGGATTGCGACCAGCGGCTCCCAGCGCACTCACATGCTCCTTGGATGGTCCCATTTCCCATTTCCAAGTCGTTCTTCCGACTTCAGTGTGTGTTCATGTACTCTTAAGTCAGAATGTGGAATCAACATGGACGCTACTACAAAGATGTGTTGGATTAGCATTATCAGAGCTTATAAACAACACGTAGACATCTAGTTCACTCTATATGGACAGCAATTATAACCATATACCAATATAACCACATTAGAAATGCATGTTTTCAAAATATGTATATGTCAGTGTTATCCACAGAATGACAGCGTAACTGTGGCATGGGGTTTTGACTACTATGTACAGCGTGCTAACCGCGACAACCCAGCTGTATTCTAACGTTAACATAGCTATCGTTATTATATAGGCTCCTTTCATGCTTGCTAATAACCAATTTGAACGTGAGTTCCCGAGATTGACAGTGTTGTATTAAGAATGGACAGACTATCAGAGTAACTTAATGCATTAATTTGGACAAATGAGTGCAGTGGTGTTCATGATTAGCAGCAAACCTTCCTCCAGCGCATGATCGTGTTTTGATTGAGACTGTGCACGAAGACGAGGGGCTATTCACAGACAAGTCTGTTGTCAATTTGTTTATGAGAGAGAGAGAGTGAGTAAGACGAGGTCCTGAGCGAATCTATGCACTGCGCGCAGCTCTACCATCTAATATGATTTTACCCATTTTTAAATAGTAAAAAAACAAACATGTGTAACTGGCGGTCAGCAATGATATTGTGGTGGGCTGCCACAAATAAATCAATGAATGGGAAACACTATTCATGATTTTGCATGAACCAAAGTTCTGTATACTTCTTTATGTCCTTTGTACACTTTATTCCTCTTTTTGCAATAAAGATTTAAGGAGGGGGAAAAAAGTGATTATTCCTATACCACATGAATGCATCGCTCACCCCTCCCTGTCAAAGCGTGCAGGAAAAGCTACAGAATACGCGTGGGCCTCCATTTGTCCAAATTTCACATTTCTTCTTACTTCTCATAAACCAGACGACTACTACTACTACTACTACTACTAACGTTAATTGTTCTTCTTCTCCTTTTCTTCATATTCAATGTAGTAACGAAGCACGCTCTGTAGAGCCGTTTGTCTGTTCGGGCTACCGGAGAAACATGGCGGCGCAACATGGCAACATCCATGTAAGGGGACCCGTGGTGTATGTAGACAGTTATTGTTTTATTCTAAGGTAATAAAAACATAACGGTGCATTACATAAGGTCTTTTTGCACCACTGATATATTATATTGCATTTCTTTCAATGGATCCTGCTAAATATCACACACTGAACCTTTCTTTTAACTTGTACGCAACATCCAACATGCATCACATTATGAACAAAATACTTCTGTAGAGGCAATTAGTCAATCTAACTCCAACCTTGTTGTTCATAATTAGCTTTTATTGATGAGCTGTTTCTGAATTACCACACTGCTAATCATGAGGTCATCTTTACTAGGTAGCCAGACCAGAGCAAAGTAACGTTAATCAGCTAGCAGCCTGGATCTCTCACAGTTTTGCCGTCACATGTGGAGACATATCAGAAATCAGTAAACCTTTTGGACTGTCCCCTGATAAAATTAGAGTTACAAAATTATTTATCATGCTGACTTCTATAATACTGCATCTTTTTTCCAAATATAGACATGCCTGAATGTATCTCTACATATTAAATCTGTAGTTCCTTTTGTACTCATCACAAATTGATACAGTACAGATATATTATGTTACTGACTAATTCTAGTGAATTCTGGCTACCAACATGCCACGCCATGTCTGTGGGCACACAAGCATATGCAAAATGATCTGATGAATAAAAAGGTCAAACTTAAACACACTCAAACTGGTAAACTGACACCAGATAAGGACCATGCCCACACCACAAAGCTGAGCTGAACTCAACTGGACTTACCCAGGTCCATCATTCTCTCATTAATGGCAATATACCAGCATATGTTTAGGTGTTGGAAATTTTCTTCTGCAAGGTTGAGAATTGGAAAATGAAACAAAAACCAATGGGAGAAATAAAGCAGGCTGAAGGGAACAAGTGTTACACTGAAATAATACTATTTTCCCATCTACAGTCCCTTGAACATTTAGATGAAATCCGAGGCATTTCGTCTAAATGACTATCAAAGACGTGCCGTGACTGAGTGTAGATAAAGGTAAACTGATGTGATTCTCCAAACCCAGACGGGCAGCATACAGACTACTTCTAGCTCAGCTCAGCAACAGTGTGAACAAGGTCAGTAAGTCCTCATCTCTCCAAGATGACATTATAGGGACAGGCAAACCCCATATTAAACAGCTGTCTGATGCGTACTAACAGATTAACAGTACATCACATGGTGTATAAACAAAGCATATTATACCAATACACACTTAAAACATTAGGGTTAAGTGTACTCTACACTTTAAATATAAATATTAAATTTCTGTTACCATCAACTACTTTTTAAAAGCAACCACAAATAGTTATGTGGTTTATATTTTCCATATCCGTATAACAAAAAGACTTGAAAAAGGAAAATTAGCAGCCAAAACATCCACTAACTTGTCTTGGAAGTATTTTTTTTGACAAGTGAGGACAGACAAGAGGTATATTGAAGACATTCAAAAGGGAAAAAAATCTTTTAAAATTCAAATTCGTCTTTGCTGAAAACCCCCCAAAAAGTGAAAGTGCAGTGAAAAAGAAACAAGTGACCTGTTCCTTTAAAATGTTCTTATTGCTCACAGTCTGGTGCGAAGGGGGGGCAAAAAAGCCACGTGGCAATCATAAAAACAAAAACTGAAGACAGGACCCCTGGTGTGTGTGTGTGTGTGTATGTGTGTGTGTGTGGTAACGGGTTGTCCCAGCTGACAAACTGTAGAAGCCAACAAAGTGAAGAAAGCTAGGTAGGGGTGGTGGGATGGATGGAGTAAGGTAGTAGTAGAAAGAGGAGGAGGGGGTAGAAAAGTGCTGCTGCTGTTGTTGGAGAAGAGTTCAGGTGGTTTTGTCCTCTACCTTGTACCCTGGGGTGGCTTTGTGGGAGGCGGAATGGCGATGGCCGCCGTCTTTGCCCGGCGTGGATGCCCTGTCTTTGGCCTTGGACTTGTGGCCATGTCCACCTCCTCCCTCCTGGCTCTCCACGTCTGATGTGTTTCCTGAAGAACTGTCCTGTAGAGGAACAGAAGAGGAGGGACAACAAGTGAAGGACAGTGGGTTTAAGAGTGAGGTACAATAATGTAGTTGCATGTTGATATGAGTCAAGTTTAGTAGAGGAAAGTGATTCTAACAGGGGAACTAGAATCCATCACGCAGTTGCTTGCATAGCTGCATAGTAGACTTCTACCATTAAGCATCTGTGTCTCTAGGATGGATGTATGATCGGACAAAGATCCAGGCTACAAGAGTAGCACAGCCTAACATCTTACAGATGAGTTCTTGTTCTTTTTATCATCCTTGCCCTCCTCTGCATCATCCGAGTCAGGTTCTGAGTCCAGCGCAGGGAGCTCTGGATCCAGAGGAGGCTCAAACAGAGCTGTGTTCAACGGCAAGTATCGCAGCTCATTGGGAGAGTACCTGTCATGCAAAACACAATGATGCATCAGGGTGCAAATATTCAGCACAGCGACAGATAATAAGAGAATATCCAGAAAGCACAATTTCGAGGTTTATTATTGTGAATACAAAAGAGGCAAAAGCATTTATTTAAGTGTGTAATGTACCGTTTGTAGTAGTCTTGGAACTGTCCTGGTATGAGCGCCACAGGGTAGGGCCCCGTCCTTGTCAGCTCCGGAGCCAGCACCTTGAACCTGCCCTGGGGCACCTGGATAATCTGAGAAAACACACAAAACTCAATGCATGTTGAAAAACACAGCCCTGTACTATCTCAGCAAGTAAATAATCCATTTCCTCAGGCTGGACCTACATGTGTCTGGAGGTCAAAGTAAGCTCTCCTCTCTTCCATACGCTCCCTGTTGAAGTTACTGTTGAACTCTGCAGCTTTTTTAGCCGCCTTCTTAATGTATTCAGGAACCTTGCTGGCCTCCACCTTCTGAGGGTTCTGCTGCTGCATTTGCTATAAAGGCAAAGGACAAAAGATATGTTGTACATACATGTAAAACAAAATGTCATCGTCAATCATCAGCCACAGGATGTTTTTTTTTGTTTGTATACTTACAGAGTACTCTTTAGCTATTCTCTGTCGCTCTCTCTCCTGCAGTATGACTGAATACTCAGAGTGTTTGGTGGGATACTCCTTTATCATCAGATCTATCACCTCGTCACTTCGCAGAGCTGTCAGACCTGCAAACACAAGAGACACGCATTTCAACTGCATCAAGCACACCGATGACTTGCACGATCACAGTAAATCATATAAACAATGTAGTGAAACTATTTCAACTGGTCTGAGGTGTGGTTCCTACCCAGAGTACACTGTGTCTCAGTAATGACGTTCTGTTCACGCAGGTAAAGCTTCTCTTTGTGGGACAAGTCTCTTCTCTCCATATCTAGATGACAAAAAGACCATCACTGGTCAAAAGGCAGCTTTACTCTTCTTCACATCAGAGCATGAATAAAGAAGTGTCATTACAGCAGTATGACTATTAATTGTATTATTACTGTATTATTCCAGTAATAAGTTTGTAAATAAACAATTACTCCTGAAATGACTCTCCTCTGAACATCTACACAGTATAAAGACAGCTTGGCATATTACAATTATAGCAAATATTAGAGTTACAAGATAATACAGTAAAACATTTTCACACAGATTTAATCATAATCAAAAATAACGATCATTTTGTATCAGCAAATCAATAGAATTATTAGTACAGAATCAGTAGTATTTTTCAAAAAAAATAAAGATAAGAGTACAATTACATCCTTGAACACTAACAGGAACAACAGTTTTAGATTTTTACTTCAGTCTTACCAGGGTACTTCCTCTTGAAGGATGTGACTCCCAGATACTCGCTGACCTGCTCCTGTAGCATGTAATACTCTCCTGTGTCATCTGGAGGCCACTTGTACTCTGTCAGGTTCTCTGCTGGGAAATATGTCGGGCTGGAAGGGGGGTGGAGGGTAAAAACTCTTTAAAAAGATGAGTCTGTGGTGGCATTTTTTTATAAGCATTCCATCTTTCAGCGTTTCCCACAGAATGCCTTGGTGGCCCACCTGAGTAAAGTGTAAATGTGTGGGAAACACGGTCTTTGATGGGAGAGAAGATGAGAGTGATGGTCAGGTTCTCAGCTGGGAGAGCGAACTTCACCAAAAATCACACATAATGCTATGTGGAAATTGTAAAATATAGGATATAAAAAGGGGAATCATGAGACTGATGAGGGCTACATGTGTAAATCCTGCTAACAGTTATGTCATTCAGTTTTATCACATACATGTATAATCAAATACATTATGGGGATAAAGTAAAAGGGAAAATATTTCATATAACAACAAACCCTGAGCATTATAAAGACTGCTTAAAAAACCCTGCCAATGTCAGTGTAATGCTCCATGCCAAGTATCAAGTTAACCTACCCCAGGTCTTGACTGGAGGTGTCGCAGCTCCGAGAGCTGTCCCCTGAACCCATTCTCCTTCTCTTGGGAGGCTGACTGCCATCATTGGACTCCTCTTCTATGACATCCTCCTACAGAAGAAAAGAAAACAAACACAATTAATATCAATTATACCAGGATAGTCTCAAGGATGCCGTCCATCCTTCTGATTTAATCGGACACATAGCGGTATTTCTTAAACATTTTTATCCTTAGGACCTACAACCCATTCAAGCACAGCCTTAATAATTCCACTGACTGATAGAGCAATGAAAGAAACAGAAATTAAAAACAGTTGCATCAATCCACATGGCCAGCCTTAGATAAGCCAAGACCTCAGCATCACTTCTGTCACCCATCATAGAAAATCATAATTCCTTAAACCCCTGTGTCTAAGTGTCTTTTAAAGCAAAGTCAAAATATGGTTACATTTTACTTTGTCTTCAAGAAGGCAAGAAAAAAATAAAAATATATATATATCTTGTACATTAATGTGTTTGAGTTGGGCCCAATTCAAAACAGAATGATACTTGGCCGCCATACAGGAGGATTTATAAAGCCCAAGCACCATGTGATTCTGTGAAAAAGGGCAGTAAAATTACGTCGGTGCAAAACATAAACAAGCATGATCTTGCATGTGGAGTTGATAAAGTGGTGTGAGGGAAGGAAAAGGCGTTACCACTGTCAAACCACTCATATCTACAGAAGTCGACATTTTTCATACGAAAATAAAAAAAATCATAACTGTTTGTAAACACGGCACGCACAATGCAAACCATCCCCAACATGCTGCACAAAACAAAGGGGTGATCTCAATGTCGCTAACAGTAATCATTCGTGGACGGAGGCAGCCGTTGGATAGCTAACTAGCCGTTAACGTTAGCTGAGCAACCAACCGTGCAGATCTCCGTGAACAGAGCAAATTATTATCCGTGTTTTCTGCGGAACACAAATGTCACCTTTATGGATTGTGCCCCAGGGGTAGCAGGGTTGCTGTCGCAGGGCGGTCTTACAGGGAGCACAGCAGCCATATTTCTCTAAATAAAGCTCGCAGCTAGGCTAGATCACTAGCCGCTTCTTCGTTTTCTTCTTCTTCTTTTGCTGCCGGTCGGGAAAACGAAACGATACATAACCGCCACCTCCTGGGTTGGAGTGTAGGTTAGTCTCTTCTTCTTCTTCTTCTTCTTCTTCTACTGGCTTTCCGGCAGACTAGATGCCTTACGGCATATTGCTGCCACCCACAGTTCAGTCTCGGTATCGCTTTATAGCACCTTCATTCTCAGAGGGCTAATCCTGTTGCAGATATAAAATCCATGACTGCTTCCACTATCCTTGATTGGTTCTCATGAGGATTCAAAATATCTCTCAATGTCACTGCTTGTAGTCCATCTCCTGCTACCTCAGAATACAGTTGTTCTCTTTGCCTTTTATACTGTTGACATTCCATAAACACATGATTAACAGTCTGTTGTTGATTGCAGGTTCTACAGAGCCCATCCTCATGTTTGCCTATCTTCGCTAGATCCCATGCAAATCCACAGTGTCCCAGCCTTAGTCTTGTCATAATTACAGCTTGTCTTCTGGATTTACCCAAGCAACTCTGCTCTGTCTTTACTTTGTTTTGTATTGCATAATAATGCCGGCCCTTTGTTTCCTTTTCCCACTGCCTCTGCCATACTACTATAGTGTTTTCCTTAATGACAGATCTACATTCGGTGACCCCAATACAAACTTCTAAATCAATATCTCTTTTCAGAGTCATTTTTGCTACCTTGTCTGCCACCTCATTCCCTTCTACCCCAACATGTGCAGGGACCCAGAGAAATCCCACTGACCCTCCAGCCTTTTCGATTTTATACAACAGAACCATCAGCTCCATAAACAGATCTGGCCGAGCTCCCATATTACTTCCTCCCAGAGTTTTTAACACTGAAGCCGAATCTGAGCATATTACTGCTCTCCTTGGTTGCACTTCCTCTATCCACTTTAGTGCCCATATAATAGCTAGAAGTTCTGTTGTATACACCGATACCCCCTCAGACAGTCGTTTAAGCTTTACATATTCATATTGTGGGATATAAAAAGCAAAGCCTGACTTCCCAGTTTGTGGATCTTGGGATCCATCTGTATATATCTGAAGGTAAGTTCCCCACTGATTTTCCAGTCTTCGCTTTACCATATTGGGATACTCTGTGCCTTCATGATGTTTGATGTTATCCATTATACTAAGATCTATTTCTGGTATGGACATCAACCACGGTGGTACAACTGACCAGTACACTTGCGGGGCCATCCCTTCCTCCTTCAGTCCCAGTTCCTCAATTTTTTTCCTGATGTTAAACATAAAACATTCCTTCCTCCTTTTCCCTGATCCCCACTCCCACGCATTACTTAGAACTATTTTTGTAGGGTGTTCTCCTTTATGTGCCCATAATTTAACAATATACTGCATTGCCAATTTCTCCCGTCTAATTGACAATGGCATTTCCCCCATCTCTACCAACAAAGCTGGGACTGGAGTTGTACGGAGGGCCCCGCAACATAGTCTCAGTGCCTTAGCTTGTATTACTTCCAGCCTCTTTAAATGTGTATCAGCGGCTGTCCCATAACACACACATCCATAATCCAACCTAGATCTTATCATTGCCCTGTAGATCATTAGTTGAGTATCTCTGCCTGCACCCCATGTGCTACCTGAGAGGGAACGCATTACATTTAATACCTTTTCACACTTATTTACAACATTATCTATCTGCTTTTTCCATGTTAGCTTCTCATCCAAATGCACACCCAAAAATTTGAACTCTTTAACCCTCTCAATTGCTTGTTCATACAAAAATAAACCACCACATTCAGTTTTCTTATTACCAAATATTATATACTTTGATTTCTCCACTGATATCCTCAACCCCCACTTTTCACCCCAACTAGTTACTTTGTTCAGAGCTACTTGCATTTGCTCAGTTATTTGTTTGACATTCCTGCCCCTTTTCCAGATGGCCCCATCATCAGCAAATAGAGATTTTCCAAAACTATTCCCAATTTCTTCAAATATATCATTTATCATAATATTGAAAAGGACTGGGCTTATCACGCTACCCTGAGGAGTTCCGTTATCGATACCTGTTCCAGCTGATAAAGCATTTGCAACCCTAACTTGAATTCTCCTGTCCTTCAAGAAGTCTTGTATCCAGTTAATCATCCTCCCTCTGACTCCAGCCTCATATAGTTTTATGACAAGCCCCTCCTTCCATAGCATGTCATACGCCTTTTCAATATCAATAAACACCGCCATTAATACTTCTCTATTCACCATTGCTTTCTTTATATCACTGTCAAGGGACGTAACGGCATCCATGGTACTTCTCCCTCTACGGAATCCACTTTGTACTGATGTAAACCATCCCTTCTTCTCTAACTTATAAACCAATCTGTCTGTAACCATCCTTTCCATTATTTTACATAGGACTGATGTCAGTGCAATGGGCCTGTATGATCCTGCCTTATAAGCGTCTTTCCCTGGTTTCAATATTGGAACCACCAGTGCATGCTTCCATGTGCTAGGTAGACTTCCCTCTTGCCATATGTGATTCATTAAGGCCAAGATTTCCTCCAAAACTTTGTCACTAAGATTCTTAACAATCTCATAGCTAACACCATCCTTTCCCGGGGCTGTTTTCCTTCCTTTTCCAATTGCCCTGTGCAATTCTTCTAATGAGAAAAATAAATTACCCACATCAGAATTATCATTATTTATCTCAAGTTTGTATCGATTTTGCTCTAATATCTCATTTCTTTTCCTTATACCTGCTTCACCAATGTTAGCTCCACTGTGAACAGCTCTAAAGCTATTTTCACATAGCTTTGCTTTATCCAAATCACTTGTAGCAAACAATCCTCCCTCCTCTAAAACTGGCATTTTCCTTTTCCTATTACTTCCTGCCATACGATGTACTGCCCGCCATATTTCTGTTACTGCAGTCTCTGCCCCTAGTTTTCCACAGTATTTTCTCCAGCACTCTTTTTTTGCAGTCTTAATCACTCTGCGTGCTTTGGCTCGCAGTCTTTTATATTCTACTGCTTTATCTTCTGTTGGATGTTTCCTCAATGCTCTATACCCGCAATTCCTGTCTCTTACTGCTTTATCACAGTCCTTGTTCCACCATGGCACACTAATTTTCCTTTTAGAACACTTCTTTATCGGGATAGATTCAATTGCACTTTTCATAATTATTTCACATAAGCTGCTATTCCATTCCTCTATTGTCCCTTCCTCATTTACTTCCTCTATAGTTTTGTTACACTTTTCAGAAAAAAGTGCCCAATCTGCCTTACTATAATTAAATAAGTTTTGGTTACCCTGTTCTTCACTCAATAAAGTTTTCCCAAACCTCAATAATATTGGGTAATGATCACTCCCTATTGTATATCTGTCCAAAGAATCCCACTCTCCAACCCTAGCTAGTTCACTGGACGCTAATGCCAAATCTATATATGAAACATTTCCTGTTCTAATATCAAATCTAGTTGGCCTGCCATCATTTAAACAAACTAATCTCCACCTGTCCATAAATTCCTCTATAGTGCTCCCATTATTATCTTTTATTCTGCTACCCCAAAGAGGGTTGTGAGAGTTAAAATCCCCCACCCAAATGACCGGTGTCCCTACTTGTTCCATAACCCACTCCAACTCGCTTAGATTTATTTGCAAACAAGGATTATACATGTTTATTATGTTAATCCACCTGTGCTGTCCCCAGACTCTTACTATAACACATTCTAGTTTAGACATTATCTCTACATTTTGATACTGTACATCTGATCTTATAAATGTTGCACACCCTCCCCCAGACTTTCCTTTTCTATCATATCTGTTACTTTCATATCCAGGAATCACAAAATCTAAGCATGGTTTAAGCCAAGTTTCCTGAATACATATCACCTCTGGTAGATCCTTAAATTCATCAACAAATCTCTTAAGTTCCTGTCCATTAGCCATCAAACTCCGTGCATTCCATTGTAAGATGTAAAACATCAGCAATTTACCTATCATCATTTATGTCCATGTTTCTTCCCCCAGTACATTCCTCATTACTGTCAGTGATCTTTTGTTTTCCCCTACCTCTTTCGTAAACTTCCAGTTTCTGTCTCATATACTTGTGCAACTCTTCTGGACCCATACATGCCTCTTCCAGAAATCTCTCTGCAGCATCCACCACCACTTTAATAACGTCAGATCTTCTGGTTTGGTCTCTAACTGCCCACAGAACATCTACCATGAATGCCAGGAATGACTGGGTTCCCACAATCTGCCTCACTTTCTCCCTATCAGGCTGGGAATCAGAAGGCACTTCAACTACCACTTGTCTGGAAGGTTCCCCCGTTCCCCTCACTTTCTTCAGGGCATCTGCATATGATATTTTGCCTTCAACTCTCAATTTCTCTACTCCCACAGCTCTAACATGATGCTCACACCCCCTAAATGAAGATACATGATTTCCGCCACAGTTACAGCACTTGACTATATCAGCTTTACATTGAATAAAGTCATGGCTTCCTCCACACTTCCCACATCTTTTTTTCCCTCCGCATGCTGCTGCTACATGGCCATAGCGTTGACAATTGTAACAACGCAGTGGGGGACGAATATACTGTCTCACTGGCAAGCTAATATATCCAAGGCTAACCCTTGCTGGCACAATATCTTGCTTGAATGTTAATAGCACAGCATTACCGGTTTCTTTGAATCTCCGTACAGCTACAACCTCAGCTCCCTTTAAATTCTTCAAGATGTCACTCTCTTCTATCTCAAGGCTTACATAGATCACTCCTTTAGCATTTTTAGCCTGACCAGGAACGAAACATTCAACAGGCCTGTTAAGCAAATGCCGAACTTTAAGGGCATTCAACCTCTGATTATCATTTCTGCAAAAAACAAGTATATTCCCATTCATCATCATTTTCACATTTAGAACTTTTCCCATTTTGTTTTTTAGCTCCTCCGATAGTCTGAGTGGGTTTAAGGCTTTGTCACTTTTATCTTTGAATTTAACTATCATCCTAAATTCACCCTCCTCTTCAGATCTTGGCATTTTCCTTGTGCTTTGGGACTCG